TCCAAAATACATATTTTGATGAAGTTACATTTCTGAAATAAAAATGTGATTTGAAATGTAATTTGTGGAAATTTGTTAAATAGATAATCGTAATCAGTATTTAAAAAGATAAATTTTGTTACCTTAGGCTATTAAGACCTAAAGCTATAGTGTTTAGTGTTTCCCCATCAGTATAATATAGATTTAATTGATTCATATTCAAATTGAATTAAAGTACTAGGTACATATTGCATATCATGAAGAAAATTAAATGACGAAAGTTACTTTTTTTTTTGTATTACTAGACCTTAATTATTAAGAAGTTCAAAACATAAATAACTAGGTTATAAAAATAATCGATAATGTCAAATGTCTGGCAATTAAGAAAGACTATAGGACGTACACATGTTTAATTACAAAAACTCTAAAAACTATTCAAATAATAACTATGACAACTTAAGTGTTTAGATACTATTTCAGAAGTTTTTTAATTATTTCCTGTAGGCTACGAAAATGTTCTCAGAGAACAGATCATCATGATATTATATTAAAAAATATCACTGTTGCGTCAAAATGCAATTATAATATTGTGAATAAACTTACATTTAGATATACAATTACTTGCAAAAATAATTAAAGTAGTTAATTACCACCAAAAAGTGACTTTAATTATGTATAAATACTTCTTAATATATCTACTAAATGTTTCAAACTAGTCTTGTTACAATAACTTGTAACTTGTTACACGAGTTCTGTTAAACCCCAACACTCATTCACATCAATATTTTAATCAGTAGACATAGCTTTAAGACATAATTTGTAACCACATCAGTCATCTTTTTATTTAATTTATTTATGCATAACTGACAGTCCACAGACTGATATTTAAAGTGAAACGGTAATATGTGTTTCGATTTGTAAGATTTATATTTAATATATAAGAAGAATTACTTACTATGAAAAAAAAAATAGATGATCATCTAACCATCCATTCAATATAGAAATCCGAACTGATACCCTCATTGTATTTTTTTATTTCAAATTGTTAGTTCATTATACATTTCACTCCATACCATATTCATAAACAAATCATACAGTAACTATAAAATTATTTATAAAACAATATCCAATTTTATAAATAACAGTGTAACACCTAAAATAATTGGTTTCAAGTATCATTGGCCCACTCTGCCACACCGAGCTGCGCACGCCTATGAACAACGTGCACTTCTGGGTCCAAACCATCCTCCCGAGTAAGCTTCTCCTCGAATTTAAGAATTGGATACTACGTTAAACCTAAACAAAATAATTAAAATTTTAAAAAATATATACGATAACAAAAAGAAAAAAGGTGCTCTGCTGTACAGTAGGTTACAAGTGGGTCACTGTATAATGGATTTTCTTAAATTTGAATTCAATGATATAATAAATCTGTATATATCAAACTTTATTTTTCAAAAGGGCTAGACCCGTAAATATAAATAAATAAATAAATAAATAAATATAAATAAATAAATAAATAAATAAATAATATCATTGTATAAGAAAAACGATTCTTAGAGGAGACGGTATGTCAACTATGTATAAGACATATTATATACTTATCTAAGGTATTAAAAAATATTGATCTATATAATAGGTAACTATAATAAATTATAAATTAATCATATCACAATACCTATCCATTAGGTACTTATAACGCGTTATATCTCAACAACAAACCCTGATACTATCATAGATATATAATAGTGTACTTTAGAAGTTTTAAGTACCCACGAATAATATTATACAATCACAAAAAAATAACTAAAATAGTTATTCTATGTTTTTTATTATGTAATTTCGTCCAAATTTGAACTTAAAATGACTATAAAAATAAACTGGGCTTATGTATTTTTTAGATTTTTTTGGTAGCAGAATAAACTACTTACGTGGAATCTTGTTTTAAATCTTCAATCCTTAGATATAAAAGTTGAACATTTTATAAATTTTTAACTACAAAATAGTTATTCAATTATAAATTTGATAAATTTTGTCAAAATTCGATCTTTAAATGTTTATAAAAAAAAATTGTGAATATGTATTTTTAATATTCTTAAAACTTTTCAACCTTGTATTACATTAATACACTTTTTGGCAAAACAGATAAAACTTTATTGATATTAATAGAAAAAAAAAACTAAAAAAATGTAAAACTGTAAATGTCCATAAACAGATCAAAAAGAGTCAAAATATTTTCAAAATTGTATGGTGTATAGGAAAATAAATACTAATATAAACATCCAGTGAAATTTTCATGTATCTACAGTTATTCGTTTTTGAATCACAACAAAATAAGGAAATCGCCACATGAGAAATCGAGTGAATATCCAATGTTGTAAAAATTTGAATTGCAAACGCTCATAAAAATTAAATTTGACTTTCTTATAGAATTTTTTTGATGATGGCAGATATTCTTAAGAGGAATATTCTATTAAATTTTAAAATCTTAGATATAAAAAGAAATATTTTTATGAATTCTTCACTCAAAATAATTTGCTAATTTTCGTGATTTCTTCATATTCTGTCAAGATTTAAACTTTTAATGCTTATAAAAAAAAACTGTGACTAAGGATTTTTAATATTTTTCAAAAGTTAATGTAACAATGTAGTAGGAAAATCAAATTAAATTTTCAAGTATTTTTACTCAAAAAATAAATTTTTAATGATTTATTTAGTAATAAAACTAAGAAAAAATGGAAAATGAAAATGTCTCTAAACAGTTCAAAATAAATCAAAATATTTTGAAAATTTTATCGTGTATAGAAATGCAAATATAAACAACCAGTGAAAATTTCATGTATATACGTTCATTTGTTTTAGAGTTATACCAAAAACTAAATACGATTTTTTGGAAAACCGATTTTGCATAAAAATTCCTGTTTTCCCTAATTTTTATATTGTTTTTCCCGGCACTTGTGAAAACTACTAGGAAATATTTACTTTTGACCCCCAAAGTACCAACTAGATTCACTTTCTTATCAAAAAAGATACTGTTGAAGAAAATCCAAACACTTTTACTGTCCTAAAACGTGATGACAGACACAAAAATTAAAAAAAAAAATTAAAAAATTAAAAAAGGTGCTCTGCTGTACAGTAGGGTACAAGTGGTTTACTGTATAATGGATAGTATTAAATTTGAATTCAATAATATAATATCATTGTGTAAGAAAAACGATTCTGAGCGGAGACTGTATGTCGGTCTACGTATAAGACATATTATATACTTATCTATGGTATTAAAAAAAATTGAAATATAATAGGTGGGTAGGTACCTATTATAAATTCTAAATTAATCATTATCACAATATCCATTAGGTACTTATAACGCGTTATACATAAATAACAAATCCTGATACTATCATAGATATATAATAGTGTACTTTAGAAGTTTCAAGTACCCACTAATAATATTATACAATCACAACAAAATAACTAAAATAAATATCCTAGGTTTTTTATGGTTGGATTAATTTGAACTTAAAATACGAATCTAAAAATAAACTGTGCTTCTGTATTTTTTAGACTTTTTGGTAACAGAATTAATTACTTACGTGGAATCATGTTTTAAATTTTCAATCCTTAGACATAAAAGTTGAACATTTTATAAATTTTTAACAACAAATTAATTATTCAATATTAAATTTGATAATTTTTGTCAAAATTATGTAATTTATGTATTTTTTTATGTATTTTTAATATTTTTCAACTGCTACTGTAACAATATATCAGGAGCCTTGTATTAATTTTTTACACTTTTTGGCCTAACAGATAAAACTTTTATTGATTTTTATAAAAAAATAACTAAAAAAAATTGAAAGCTGTAAATGTACTTGAACAGCTCAAAAAGAGTCAAAATATTTTCAAAATGGTATATTGAATAGGAAATGCTAATATAAACATTCAGTAAAATTTTCATGTATCTACAGTTATTCTTTTTTGAATTACAACAAAATAAGGAAAACGCTACATGAGAAATCGAGTGAATATCCAATGTTGTAAAAATTTGAATTTCAAACGCTCATAAAAATTTAATTTGACTTTCTTATAGACATTTTTTTTTTGATAAAGGTAGATAATATTATAAGGAATCTTGTATAACATTTTCAAATCTTAGATTAAAAAAGAAAAATTTTTACGATTTTTTAACTCAAAATAATTTGCTAATTTTCGTGATTTTTCCATATTTTTTCAATTTTTGAACTTTAAATGCTTATAAAAAAAACTCTGACGAAAGATTTTTAAAATTATTCAATTATCATTGTAAAAAAAGTTGGTGAGTTTATGTTGATCTGCTGTACAGTAGGTTACTATCTGTTCACTGTAATGGAAGGCGTTAAATTTGAATTCAATGATTTAATAACATTGTATAAGAAAAACGTTTCTGAACAAAAACGGTCGGTCAGCCTATGATTTTAGTTCTTACGTATATTTGATGATATAATTTTGAATAAAAGAATTTAAATATAACCTATTTACATAGAACCTGGTTTTAATTTTTCAATCTTTAGCTATACAAGTTGAACATTTTATAAATTATAAGCTACAAAATAATTATTAAATTTTTAATTTACTATATAGTAGTACAGCTTAGTGATGTATGACCTAATTTCACAATTAGAAGCCCTGGATAATATTATTACCTTTAAATTGGTAAATTAACTATATTAAAAATAACAGAGTAAAATGGATTCTCCTGAAGATAAAATGTTTTATGATTATAACATTATGAATCAAAATATCTAGATATGACATTGTCTTATATTAAAATAAAAAATAATAATACACAAAACAATTAGTTACGCATTATAATACTTTTTTAGATGAGATGAATTCCTACAATAATAGACAATTAAAGATCATTAATTAAATTATTAAATACAAATTTAAACAGTTAATATTAATGGACTGATTGTTATGTTTCTAATGGACAGATTTGTCTTTTATTTAAAATATCTTATGAAAGTAAATGTTTATCAGTGTTATTGATTGTAGAATACATTTATTTGCATGACTAAATTTTCAATCTTCCTTCTTTGTTCATAGGCAATTTTTGAGCCCTGAAAAAGATAATAAAGTGACTGTCTATAATGATTCAATAGTAAATAAATATTCAACAAACCTGAAATAAATACCATGCTCCATAAGCATGCACAAAACCTGATAGAATAGCTATATAAAATGACCACGATAGATGGTTATACATAGGATACATGACCAAACCACGTATCCAACAGTATAATGGGAACAGGCTCACAGTAAACAGTATCAATACAGCTAGAAAAAAATTAATTTATATTTTAATCAAATCAAGAGTCATGAGATAATATAACAAATAATAATATGTTTTTAACAAACTAGTAGTTGCAGCCGCTAAGAAACATAAAGCTGAAAGCATGTACTCATATTTCAGTACGAGACGTTGTGGATATCTCGTTACAACAGCAACAATTATTGGTAATGTCCCAAGTGATAACAATACTGCTAAACTCATGAAAACGTCCAAAACTAAAAGCCATCCTTTTAAAACAAACATCATAATAATTCATTAATGTTTAACTACTAAAAAATGTACACAAATTAACTGTAATTTATTATAAATTATTACTAACCTAGTAATAGCCGATCTCGAATAACGTAATATTCTTCACTGAATACTGTATTGCAGCCATCAAAGAGTTTTTCAAATTGATAGTAAGGGTATTGGGTGTGATTAAAACAGTATGTCCATAAACCCATGTGCTCCAAATTTGTGGACGCATCATCATGCGATTCCCACCAATAAGGGCTACAAATATTCATTCATTATTTTTAAATAAGTAAACCAGCTATAATGTTAAAATTGTTTATAAGTACCTTATAAATGCAATGATTAAGAGAAATCCTCCAATGTAAATGATAAAACCAGCATCACTAATTAGTTCTGGAATAGTTTAACAGTTACAGTTAAAAATTGCCCAATATTTATAATAAAAAATTAATAAATAATAGGTAGATAAATAAATTTACATATTTAATTAATGTATAAATTGTATCGCTAAGGGCCTGTTTTACAATCATAGTTTAAACCTCGGTTGCACTTAACAAACTGATTTTACCAGCCAAGGCCCTAAGTGGTACTTTTGTATCATTAAAGGCTTAAAATATGATGAAATTATATATCTAAAATTTAAAAATATACCCTTGATTAGTTGACTCCAAGTTTTTAACCATTGAACCACAAAAAAGGTTGTAGAAATACTATCAGCGAACACCAAGTAACATGAATTTCGTACAGCTTAGTTTGTAGTATTAATTAAAAATAAATAGAAAAGCAATGCGGATAGATGACCAACTTGAGGGACATTAAAATGTGTGGAAAGAGATTCACAATGCATTTTGGCCTATTTTATTTTTATTCAAAATGAAAGCACCGAACCAAAATAAAATGTAACTAGTCCCTGACCAAAATGAACAGGTATATTCAATATAACATGGTGATATTGAAAGGGTATCATCGTGTTAAATCATATCATTATATTTATTTATTATAATTAAATCTAATCTAATTTGGCATGGATTTATAGCAAAATGGATATGTACTATTACGGTAATACTTTACTAATATGATACAACACTTACTGGATGCTTTTGGATAGTCAATTTTGTCAGAAATCATGGTAATGAGTGGTTTAAAATACTTAGATAACTAATAGCATACACTGTTGAATATAAATAATTATAACTTACAATATTCAATAAGAAAAATGTAAACAAATAAACTTAGTTATAGTTGGATAACAATAAAACAATTTACTATTTAAACAATTCCAGTAATTTATTGAAGGTACAACAACAACAATATGTTTGTAAGTATACCAATAATTATATACCAACTAATACCATAGTAGCACCACAGATAAAGAGAATATTATAATGATATTACGTCTTCTTTGAAAAATAACAGCTGTTTCTATTATCAAATCGCTTGTATTTTTTTTTTTAGTTATCCTTTGGGATTTGAACTTTGATTCCTTCTCGTAATAGGGCCTATAATTGATTTATAATAAATAATATTTATATAGATCGTGATATATTTAAAGAAGTATTTCTCTACTTATTTTTATATAGTACAATAATCAAATTTAATACATTTTTAAAGCAATGGGTGTCCATTTTAGCAGTTTTTCTTAATTTTAAGATGGTTGTTCCCATGGCATTAACTAACTATTGATTAAATAAAAAAATGAACTCTTTAATGTACCATATCTATCAAATTTGTTAAAAGATAAGGTACTATGTGTTGAAATGGAAGCCTTTATTCTTTTAAAAATTTTCTATTCAGGATATAAAAAAAAAAAACATTTTATAACTTTTTAACTACAAAATAATTATTCAATATTAAATAGAAAAAATAACTAACACAAATTGAAAACTGTAAATGTCCGTAAACATATCAAAGAGAGTCAAAATATTTGTTAAATTGTATGGTATATAGGAATTGCTAATATAAACATTCAGTAATATTTTCATGTATCTACAATTATTCGTTTTTGAATTACATTTAAATAAGGAAATCGCTATATGAGAAATCGAGTGAATATAAAATGTTGTAAAAATTTGAATTTCAAACCCTCATAAAAATTTAATTTGATTTGCTTGTAGACATTTTTTTTTTTTTGATAAAGGTAGACTAACTCATGAATAATCTTGTATTACATTTTTAAATCTTAGATTTAAAAAGAAAATTTTTTAAGAATTCTCAACTCAAAATAATTTGCTAATTTTCATGATTTTTCAGTATTTTGACAAGATTTGAACTTTATACATTTTTAAAGCAATGCGTGACCATTACAAACATGAAATCAAAATAATTGCTATAGACTAAACCCATGAACATTTTTATCTAACAGTCCATCATCACAGAAAGCCTTACTTTCCATTATCTAGTTTTTAATTTAAGATAATAGTATCAAAATCAATGGACTTCAATGATGTGTCTTGAGAAGTCATAATTAAACTAAATAAAAATTCAGTACAATAAATTTCAGTTTTAGTTTAATTTGTTTGTACTATAAAAAATATATTTATAAAAATGTATTATATGAAATACAAGGATAAAATATTTAACTATCACACATGATTTTCATGATATTGGTAACATAACTTAATTGTTTGAAAAATGGTTGTAATGTAGAAAAAAAAGTGATACTACTAGTCTCGTTTACTGTCTCAAAGTGTTATAATTGAATATGATTTTTTCTCCTATTACTGTTAAATTTATTCATAAAAATTATTTCTAGTCCAACCACAAGATAGAATAGAGAAAAAAGTTAAAATCATTATTTTGAGTGATAAGTTGATACCCCTTAACTCTTATTATCCCTTTAACCAATAGGCAATAGACTTCACTCTTCACTAGGGTTATTAATAATATAAGTTTTTTTTAATTGTTAACGGAAGTAACATTTTCTTTTATGCTTTTTTCATGTTTTTATGGCATATTATAGCTCATATTTCAGTTATTTTTTTGTGCTATAAAATCTGAGCGTTGCTCATGAGGAATCTTGCATTATTTTTTCAAAATTTATATAGGCTAGGTTTAGGTTGGATAATTACATTTCTTTATGAATTTCTAACACAAAATAGTTTGGAAATTATTGTGATTTTGAAGAATTTCCTACTTTTTTAAACATTTATAAAAATATGTTCTGATATTTTAATAATGTTGTTAACTTGTTTTGTACAGGACTGTTGTCGAGGGTATTGAGCTGCAATAGATTGCCAGGCAGTAGCTGGGATAGCCAAGAGAATTTACAGAGTAGCAGTTATAAATTACTACAACAACAATTTGGTAATGTTCGAATTGCCGATTAGGTATCATGAAAAAAACAATAACAATTATTGATTCAATAGTTTAAAATATTGTATTGTTTTGATTAGATGATCGAGGAATTAGATGAATGAATGACAATTACAGCAGGAGGGCGGATAGTGAGGCGCAGCTAGAAAACCAAACGTGCGCACAGTCTTCAAATACAATGTTATAAAACCGAAAACAAGATATTTAAAAATTTTAAAGTATAAAGTATAAGGTATATTTAAGAAATGTGATTAAGGGCCGTTCTTACAATGTCCTGTAAAGTGTCGGTTAACGCTAACCGACTGATAACAGATTATATTACCGGCAGAATTCGGCCGGTTAAGTGTCGGTTAACTTTAACCGGACATTGTAAGAACGGCCCTAAGATGTATAAATAAGTATAATATAATATTACAAACTACCAAATATTATTATTTGTTTACAACTCTTAAACTAGATTGCTTAAAATATATTTTTAAATTTTGATTTATGTTCCCATAGTGCAAAAACTAAAAAATGTGCATTATCTAATTATTTTTATTTAATTTAAATCAAATTCCAAATATTAATTGATTCAGTTACCATAAACTTATAAAATAAAAAATGTAATATTATAATAAAAATATTGTGGAATCTATAATTCAACGGTAAAAGTTATGATTTGAATTTTACACATATATTTTTTCCTTTACTTACTAAAGTAGGTAAAAAAAAAAAGAAATCATATTACAAAAGCTATGAGCTAGACCCTAGACATATAGATAGATAGATCTCTATATCTATTTATAAATCTATCTATCTATCTATCTTATGTATGTAAATACCTATTTAAGTTACCACAATTACATAATCACTATTAAAGGTTAAATTAATTAAACATTGACAAAGACTTATAATAAACTATAAATAATGAACAAAAATAATTTAATATTTTCGTATTTTTAGTTTTGAATTTTTTTTACACATTACATATAGATTTTAATTTTACAATAAATTTAACAACAATTCAAGGATATTTATTCAAAGTGCCTTTATTGTAATTCTGTTGATTTTTTGGATTATTTTCTTGAGTCTTGGATGGTTCCGGTTTCATAACTTGGGTTGTAACCGCACGAGAATTTTCCGTTTCTCTTTCCTAGAAATAAAATAAAGTAATTAAGACCAGAAGATTTGTTAAATATTTTATTTTTATTTTACTCCATTTGAGGTTCATGGAGTTAATGGTCTTTATGAATGTGATCAAGGCAATTAATTCAACTATCAAAACATTTAGAACATACTTGACGTCTGTAAAGTCGTTTCTTCTGTTGCGGTACCTACCTAAATTAAATTAAACATTTAATATAATTACTTTTATATAAATTAAGAGATCAAATCAAAATTGGGTCTCATATTATTAACTGCATTTATAATATTGGTAAATGAGTTACGTAAAATTAATATTGCAAGAAATTCTTTTACAATTAAGAGGATGTCAGCGTATTTTTCTCCACAAGCAACATAGCAAATTTTACATTTACAATAATGATCATTATCGTTTACATTTCTAAAATTAGAGTGAAATTACCAAATAAAAAATTTGAAGGTAAGATTATTATTTAGGGCACCTCGTAGGATTTTTGTTATATTTTAATTTTAAAGCGACTTATGAATATTTAAGGTTGTACAAATAATTTACAATTTCAAAACACTCAAAGCTCGTTTAAAAATCAAAATTTAAATAAAAGCCTATTGGATGCTGTAGATCTTATCTTCAAATATTAGAAGAAGTCATTTCGTTCTAATTTTAGAAATTAATATGATTATGATCATTATTTTATAATGTGTTACATTCCTGGTGGGTCAGGAAGAAAAAAAATACGCTGACATTCTCTTCAGTCAATAAATAAAAACATTAGTACTATAAAAATATATTTTTGCAAAATACAATTTAGTGAAGTTAACAGCATTAACATATATTATAATTGAAAATAGTGAAATGTAGTACTAATGAATGTGTGAACTAAATTAAGATATGTACTAAAAAAAAAATTAATTAATATAGTAAAAAATTATAATTTTTTCTAATTCTTACCGGAGATAATGATTTAGTTGCTGCTTGATTAAGAATAGGTTTTTCAGGCTCCTTTTTGATCATATGAGTGCACAACGTGAAATCTAAAATTTAAGTATTAATTATAGCTTTGAAATAATATTAAATAATGTACATACCGAACATGACCAAGCTCTTTCGATTGTAATGTGCAAAAGCCACACTTTTAAATTTTCATTTTGTTAGAGATTTTGTTGTTGTTGTTGTTCTTGCTGCTGCTGCTGTGTTTTTAACAAATTTAATGGAGTTCGGACCGGAGTAACTACAGTAGAAGTAGTTATAGTAGGAGAAACTCCTACCGTCAGACCACTATGTACTTTACGCTGACCTTTTTCTAGTTGTCCTTCTGCCTTTATGTGTCCATTGAAAATCTAAATAAAAGTTGAATGTAATTTTTTTATATAACAACCTAATATCATGTAGCTTGTTTTTAATTAGGTTCTATCCTTACCGTAACACCCGACAATCTGATCAGAAGGCAATATTCCATATTTCTTTTGTATATATGACAACCTTGCATTTTTAACAAGTTTCAGATCATTTTCCAACTAGTCCATATGGGTCAAAAGTGAGGTACAGTTCTTGCACATATGATCAATAGGGGTTTAAATAACCACAACATCATCTCCCATAAGCTTAGCAAGTTTTTCTGGGTATGGTACATTACTATGTGGTGTAATAATGAACACTCCCGTGTACTTTCCCGTACAATTTTTTATCACAAAGAAAACAAACACCCATCGTATCTAAAAAACAAATAACGTAATTTTCTAAGTTACAAATGATAACTAATTTAACAATAACTAATAGAATATTAAGAATATTATTAGAAATATAATATAAATTAAACATTTTGTTTTATAATACTATTAGTAAAGTTATTTACCGACAATGTAATAAATTTGATAAGTAAATCAATCATCATAGTAAAGTACAAACCAAAATGATAAAGCCGAGCAAAAATCAATTAGATATAAGAAGGGTTGTGTTACAAATAGAAAATCGAAATATAAATATGATCAAAATATTAACCCAAGATAGTATGCAACAAAAATATTCACAAGGATACACGCGCACAGTGTTTCTGACTGTCTATTGAACCATACGGATCACTTGTGTCAAGGCAATAATCTATCATGTGACCACTCCCAATGACGAGTTAAAAATTAATTTATAATTGAGATATCATAAAATTAAATAGTTTATAAATGTCACAGTTAGCTTGACAGTCTTTTTAACTGCATTGTAATGTGAATGCACTTTGAGCATTTCTAAGATACAGACATCTGATCCTATACAGTTGAGAGTTGTATCTAATGTTAGTTTATTACTTATATAGAAGTTACTAATTTATCATACCTAGTTAATATTTTGAATTTGTGAAACTTAAGAAGACGTTGTACTCGCATGTGTTGTGTCCGTTTTATACATGTACGATACCAAATTTTTGTACACTAATTTCAATAGTGTTAGTTTTGATATTAGAGTGAATAGCCATACTATCAAATGTTTAGGTAGGAACATTATCTGTGTTAGATCACTCTCGTTTGTTATTTAGGATATTTTAATTTTTAAGCAGACGTTACACGGACATTTTTTGTCTCCGTCTCATGTTTCATAGAACATGTAGGTAAATGCCTATATAATTTAACTTAAGTTCATATCCACAGTCGCTTAAGTCATCAATAATAAACAGAGTCGAGCGTCGTCGAGGGATGTTTTCGATTTTATTTGTCTGAGAGAGCACGGAGAGCAAATGACCCACGCCTTGTGTATTTATATGAAAAAAACTATTAACTATAAAACTTATACGTACTTGTACAAATTGCTTTTCAGTCTTATAATCGATGATGTTTCAGTATTGGTAGTGAGTGCAGTCTTATTCGGTGGTCCATATTACGTGCACCAATTGAACTATAGGTGTTTCGTTTGGTAGCCGTCGGACACAGTCGTCAGTCGCGTTTAGGTTGGTCGGAATACGTCACAGAGTTTAGCATTTTAGAATCGAACCACTCAAACCTCGAAATATATTAAACGCAAAGAAATCACATACGAGGCCTGCACAGTGCACACGCCGAAGCATAGATAATAGAAGATAATAGATTCTTCTATTATAAATTGACAATTAACTTCATGATAATAATTAAAATAATAAAATGATAATTAGTAAAAATATTATACTAATAATCACGAACTAAGATATACAGGACTGGAAACGAATGTTGATACGAGTACATCTTAATATTATGATTGTGCGGGGGACGAGGGAATTTCGGTTCTTATCAACACTAGCGCTCAACTCTAGGCTGGCGGCCGCTATCCGAGTTAATAGTTATTATTTATTAATTATTATTGATTTTGATATTTCTCAGTTAACAGTTATGCATTTAAACCAAAAGCAACCCAAATATAATATAAAAAAAAGATACTATATATTACTCAATATTAGGTGTAACGTCTAAGAAAATAATTAAATATTTGAGCGGTTTTTTTTTATATTTTTGAATGTAGGACGTAGGTATCATGATTTCAAAATATTATTATAGAATATAGATATTAACTATAATTTCAAATTTGTAATAATTTATTGTATAATTATATTTAGTTGATAACATATCATGGAAATAAAACTTTACATAGGTATCTAATATCTATTATATAGGTAGCGTTAATTAAGAAATAAAAAATAGGTAGAACCTATTACCTATAATTTATAAAGTACCTATTATGTAGTAGGTAATAAGTTTTGATAACTTTTTTTTTTTGTAACTTTTCTTTTTTAGTTGTTTGTTTTGTGACAAAGTAAACTGTTTCATTCTCATAGTGATGTAGTATTGGAAAATATTAGTCATTATTTCTGTTTTATGATCACTACAAGGAAATGTCAATAAATTTTTTTATTTTTTTCATTATGTGAAAGACAATTTATTACACAACACCTCACCATAATTGTGTGTATTTTAAGATAAATAAATTAAATAAAAATTATAAAAACTATTCAGCATGCATCTTTCTTAAAAAAGTTGAACATCAGGTCACCAAAGTCAAGATCAAACAGACACAATTATTATGAATTATAATTATACTATGTTAATTAGGTATAAAATGTATAATAATATATTATACGTTTATAACATTATTGTATAATTATATATTTTACGAAGCATGAAAAAGGCGAGAAATTAAGCTCCTGTTGATTAGCATACCGATTTATTAATTTATTGTTTTGGATACCTAGATGGCGCTAGTGTTGACAAGAACTCGAAGCCCCCGTACCCCGCTCATTGTATACATTAAGGAGGATTTACCTCTCACACCCTCCAACCTTATTGTTTCCAGTCCTGTATATCTTAGTTCGTGCTAATAATTAATAAATAATATTTATAACTTTATAAGTAAGTTAGTAATATTTCTCGATAGTCGACACCACCAGGGTAAACGCCGTATCCACTCTTATCCGTTTTTTGACAAGTGCTTATCACTTGTATAATTGATAAGATATGATGTTGATCAAGGGGTGGCCATATCATTCTAAAAGTGAAGCGAAAACGGGGTACTTGCAGTGCAACCATCCTATGAAAAATAAATTGTTGTAAATATACTAACACATTATTTTATTTGGAATAATAAAAATTAATTTTAAAATAAGAAGAACAAATTTTACAAAAAAATATATATCCTAGTGGTTCTTATTATAATATACAAATATATAATAATATTATGGTGAAATGTAATATTTTCGTTTTCATTTTTTTGTTTCTGAGTCCGAGCGCACAAAATACAGTTGACCATGATGATTTTAGGCTAGACTCGCGTTACTCACAATTTTACAAAATTTAAAATTCAGTTAAAAATTATAGTTATAATTAAAATTATAATTTTTAATGCTAATCAAACATTAATCATTTATTATCAGTTATCACCATAGACCATAGAGTAATAAAATATAATGTCGATTATCCATTTAATTTCATGGTCGAAAACGCCATCTAGTGTTCACTAGAGTTGTAAGAGGGGTACAATGGCGTTCAATTTTGCTTCGATCTGATAATCATAATATCTGCCTAATGCCGCCTCTATAGTTTTATTACTCTATGATGTTGATAGAAGTATTTGGTGCGCACATGCGCGTGCGGAGCGTGGAACTAGCTGCAGTTGTAGACTGTAGTGCAGTGATCCGCTCGTTGGGCCACCCACAACAATGATATTTTTTAACCGCGGTATAAGCGCGCCAGCGCCCAGCCTGCCGCGAGCCGCCGCAAGCTGCACGCCCCTCCTTCAATTTTGTATACTGCGCGTGGCTACTGCCTCCACGACGTGACCGCTGTCGACCGACGAACGGCGCTCACTTTTCCGGACGTACGGCGTGCAAAGCTCCTCGCTCCGTAGGTCTGTTACGTAACTCCCGAATACCGAACGCCATAGAAACTACGTTAATTTATACTCGCGTTTGTACGCCATCGTGAATCATATTTTACTATTTATTTTGACTGAATATTTTTTTCGACTATTATAATCAACTTGCATTTTTAATACGTGTAACCCCTAAAGGTTGAAGTATGGCTTTTGGGTCTGGAGAACAAATCCGGAAAAAATTACCAAGTCCATATCAGTACCCCGTAATACTATCACTGCATCAATACTTACCACAACAATAATAATTTTAAACTATTTTTTTTCACTCGTTCATTTTCTAAGCGCAAAATAAAATGATATCGCGGCTAAAGTGCACTTTACTATCCCACACATATTTTTCGATTTTTTTTTTTTTGGAACTCATGTAACTCATCGAGTTAAGAACGATGGTAAAATCAGAATTTGTCGCTCTCACTTACTTATTCGAAGTTATGGCCCTTGGAAGTAAGCAATTTTGCGTTTTTTTACGCATGAGCGCAACGGCTATACGTGTTACGTCTTTCGCGATATTTTTTTTTTTTTATTCGTGAGACTTATTATATTAATGAGTACCTATTACTTCTTTTTAAGCCTAGGTTGTTGTTGTTGTTACTTATGGCACAACATCGGCGTGACTATAGACTTCATCGGCAGGGGCAGCCTAGCTAATGATCGGCGCTACCTTATTAGTGAACCGAAAAAAGCCCTATACACCAAAAACCGTATTTTTTTAAGCCCCCCCTTCACAATGAAATATTTATATTATTTAAAAAAAAAGTCTAAATTATCTATTTACAATAATAATCTACAGTAACTTCAGAAATATTATTCATCTATAGAAATCAAAATACCGGAAAATTTCGGAAATTTAAAAAATTGAATATATAATATTATAAAAATTAAAATAACATATGTAAAAAAAACCATTTTAAAAAATACATAAGTAAACCTGTCATTGTCATTTCACATTTGCCAATACGGTTATATCAATGTATTACTGTATTAAAATTTAAAATTAAAGTAGGTATTAAAAATATAATACGACTATTTCAATATTTGTTCTAAAAATAACATAGTTACCTACATCTCAAATTGGTATTTATGTGGAAGGGTGCATTTCCTCGA